GAAACAGCCCTTGGAGAAGCAGAGAACGGAGTAAACATTAACTCTACAGCAAACACAAGGAGCTGGGACAGTCTGGCACAGGAAGAGCAGGAAATTAATGACTGGGTGGTGGTGAGGTGGATGACGTGGCAGGAGACATGATGGCTCGGTCTCCTTTGGGTTGGTTGACAAGGAGTTTTGGGTCACGAAAGCCCATCTGAACGTGGTAGAAGGAAATAAAAGAGGGCATGGAACAGAAACCGTGGCAGATGGAGATGCGCCCAAGTCAGTAAAAACCATGAGAAAGAATAAGGGTCATCAGATCCAAGAGCTGCGGATCATAAAAGGTAGAACAGTCAGAACATGAGATGGTGGGAAGGAGAAGCTACCGTGCCGATCCTAAGAAAAACTGGAAGGCAAGGGAAGACTTTCATGGTTGTGAGCTTTGTATTGTAGCTCAGGTTAAAAAAAAAACCCAACCTATTTATTAGTGCAAAAGACATACAATTATCATCTGATGCTTTTGTTTTATTTGCACTGAGCCAAAGGCCTCTGTTACAGGTTATCAACAGATCACGAGCCAGCCAATAATACTGGAATACATTCCATCAGAAATATATTTCACAGAATAACAGAGTTGGAGGGAACCTGGGAGATCTTCTAGTTCAACCCCCTGCTTTGTGATTTAGGAGAGATCTACGGGCAGAGAGTTTCCCTGCATTTCATATCAGTTAAGGAATGAATTAACCTGAGATAGGCTCTCTAACATTAAAACTTTTTCAAATAGGCCCAAATATTGAAGTTTTTTTTTTAATATCATACTTTAAAAAGAGAAAAGTCACCTTCTTATTAAGTCTCAAGAGTCCTTTTTTTAAGTAACAAAATAAGTGTACTTTAAATTAATCCCCAGATAGTAATATCTACTGCAGATAACCTCACTTAAATCAAAATTGGCCTCAGATTTCTTGGCTTAATGTTAGGGCTTATCAATTAATGCATCAACCAAGATGAAATACAGAGAAACCGGCTGCCTAATTCTCCTAAACAAACAATTCAAAATACGAACTTGTTGTACACGTAGTCCTGACGGAACAACTACTTGTTTAGCGACGATTCAAAGTTACAGTGGACCCAGCAAAAGCCATTTACGACCCAGTTCTGGGGTTCTAAAAACACCCACAGTCCGGTGGTGGGATTCAGCTAGTTCACACCGGTTCGGGAGAATCGGTAGCTAAATTTACCTGATTCGAAGAACCAACTGGCTTCTGGAAGTCCAGTCTAGGCCTCAGAGGCCTCCCAGGCCAAGAATGGCCCACCAGAAGTGCATGGATACCACTTCCGGAAGTCTGTTCTAGGCATCGGAGGCCTGGAGGAGGCCTCCCAGGCCAAGAACAGCCAATGGAAGTGCATGGATGCCACTTCCGGAAGTCCATTCTAGGCATTGGAGGCCCAGGCCTGCATCACATAATAGAACCGGTTGTTCAGGTATTTGAATCCCACTACTGCCATGGTTGTATAACCACATTTTGGGTGCTTGGCAACCAGCTCACCTTTACAGCCCGTTGCAATGTTCTGTGGTCCACATGACCACAAATTACAATATTTTTTGCCAATTTTCAGCCTTTTTGGATAAAAAAAATGTCCAAAGGAATACCTCAAATTGCTTAATGACCATGACGTTTCACTGAATGACCACCGTGTCCATTTAACAATCATGGCATTCGTTTAATGACTTTTGCACACACACAAAAAAGAAGTTGTAAAATTGGACCCAGACATGCGGGCGCCTCCAACTTATGTCCATCAGGACTCAGGAAAGAAATTCCAAGCTCCATTACAGGCCTTAACTACTTGTGGAGCAGATTGTCACCTGGCACAGCAAATCCTCATGGGGAGTGGGGCTATGGAAACAACTATGAAGCTGAGATGCCTGCTAATCGTGAAGGCTCAAATCAAACTGTTCAATGGTCAAGACACGCAACATAACATGATCTAGGAAGCTAGGCAGATAGCGCGTGAACAGACACAAGTTTCTACCGATGAAAGCCTACAAGGGAAGGTTTGCTTTAAAAGGTGGGAAGGCGAGATGAACTTTTGTGCCTCAGAAAGTTCACTAGAACCGTAAGATGGGAAGGACTAGCAAAAAGAACATCACAACAGTAAGGAAGGCTAGTAGGAGATCAAACAATCAGCAAAAACTTGCAAGAACAGAGCTGGTATCATTGAAGCTTTTACAATCAGGGATCTTCTAAAAAGGTACAAGGTCTGAGTCCATTCCAAGGCAGAAGTTCTACAGCTCTGTACATAACTGTTTTATTAGTAATACAAGAGGCCCATCCCAATCAGCAGGATCGGTGGCCAGGTTTGTTTTTGTTTTTCTTCAGAACTTAAGGTGAAAGGTATCTCTCAGATCTGGGCAGTTTCCTCCCTTCTTTCCAGGTTTCATTCCAGACCATGAGAATTATAAAACAGAACCAGCCAACCTCTTAGGACTCAAAAGTATAATAAAGAATGGAATTTTGACATCTTGGATTTGGAGGTGGAGGACAACCAGCCCTATTCCATAAGCACGGTTTTCATCTGGGGAAAACGAGCGGGAGAACAAGGGGGGGAAATAATCCAGCGATAGGGCAGTCATTGCTTACTCTTCGGATGTGTTGTCTTTCATGCTGAAGGTACATGGAGGAGAAACAAGGTGACAGAAATAAAACAAGGACAGGGCAGGTGCCACTGGCTTTACATGCATGTATGAAATACAAAACCCGTCACATAGTATTAGCCAAACCATCACCTATCACCTAGGCTATGAAAACAATTGCAACTTTTTTTTCTTTTTTCTTTATCCATCAACCTCTTAATATTACAAACTTCACATCGAAGATTTGTCCTTGTTGGAAGATGTTTTGGGAGGACCATCTATGAAAAGACACTTGGGAGGTGCTATTGGCCAGCTACACTGATGTTCTGAAAAGGAAATGCCCGTTGGGAGTCTTCTTGACCTCTGTCAATCATGGATAATCTCCTATGATACAATTACTCATGTTGTATAAACACTATTACTTAGGAACGTGGTGAGCGGCTATCACTACGAGTCAATTTCAACACTGTAAATTTTCATTCTTGCTATCATTCTTAGATTTCCCCACACCTAGTCCAGCAGCTAGACTAGGCATTGGGAAATCTAGGCCTCAGGCACAGAAGCCAACTGGATGACCTTGGGTTAGTTGTTCTACCTCAGCAGGGCAAAGACAATATGAAAATGGTGGCCAAGAAACATGCATGGGCTTGTTCATGTGGTTGTCAAGAGTCACATCATACTTGAAGACAAAACAGTTTATCTAGAAAGTCTAGGTGTGCTTGCTGAACACACAATCTAGACAGATAAAGACTATAAAGAAAACAAAGAATTCAAATTGAATTCTTTCATGCTTTCAGGGGACTTTCCTCTAAATCTTTTAATTTACACAAGGGACTTTATTTAAGATACTTAAAGACATAGTCACAGTAGATTTGTTTTATAGTAGACATGGACTGGCACCAGGTTTTTGTTGTTCTAATATTTTAAGTTTTAACCAGTTGTGTTTTTATAGGTTTTAAAATGATTTTATACATCTTTTAATTCTTGATTGGGAGTCGCCCAGAGTTAGCTGAAAGATGGGCAGCTGCATATTTTTTTTCAATAAATAAATAAATTTACCTGATGTTTAAGAATAAACCAAAGCTGATGATCATCGTCTGTTTTTATTGAAACACAAATCAAATAATCAGGCTGAATGAAGGACTAAAGATAGAGGGAGAATGGTCTGCTTCTCCAAGAAATTATATCAAAATGTCAATTTTGGGCATCCAAATTCACAAGAGCAAAGAAGAAGAGTTTGACAAATTTAATTCGCTTGGCACACATACAAAGGGATGGACAGTCTATTTCTATGCTTTTCATGGCATACATAAGCCAAAGAATGCAACAAATGGATAGCAAAAAAGAGTCTTCCTAAGGAGAATTAGTCCAGCATAGGATCAATTCACTGCCCAGGAAAACAGGTCTAAACACACAAAATGCAGAGAGCACATTTCAAACTGAAACACAGTTCCTTCGTGTTTGTGCCACAGCCCCTTTGCAGCGGAAACTGTCCAATAATCTGAACATTATCCCGTTTTGTACAAACCATGATTTAAAGTACAGAAGAGCCCAAGTTATTCAACCAAAAATTAAAATTCATTGTTGCTTCAAAATTTAAGGAAGAAGACCACACCTGAGAGCAAAAGATTGGCTGGTGTCTTGGCTAAAATGCAAGACACTGCATGAAGTGAAATCAACTAAAAATGTTTCTTTTATTTAGATCCAAAATGCTCCAAGGTTTTTTTTTTTTCCCTCCAGGAAAAGAATCCAACCAGGCCCCCAAAATACATTCAATTTATGCTTATGGAAAGTCAATCCAACAGCATTTCCTACATAAACACCCTTAAATGTGGGAAACAGAAAATCCAGGGACAAAAGGAAAGAGAGTATTTAAAAAATCGCAGAAAATATAATATTCATTCCCTTTTGAACACACCCACATATTCTGGTTCTGATTTCCTGTCTATTTGGGCTCGATAAAATTTGCCATATTCTAAGGATCTAGCAAAAAAAATCAGAAGGCCTCAGGTGGCCCCCTTACCCCCCCCCTAGCAAATTTTATTAAAAGTTTGCTTATGCTGCAGCTCATCTCATGAGATGCACAATGAATCCCAAACACTTGAATAAAATGGGCTCTCTAGAAAAAGAGACCATCTGACTCCACAGATACTAAGGATCTAACAGTCCCAAGGGGCCTTTTCTATGCCGAGGAATATCTATGGTTCTTGTTAATAAAAAGCCAATATCCACAGCGACTCCAAAATCTTAAGACTCATTTCATGTCCTTCTTTTCATGCTGAAGGGTAACATTGCAAAAGCTAATATCCTCCCAACCATCTTCCCTTCATGCAAGCAACGTGAATTTATTTATTTATTAATTAAAAAAAGCTGAAATACTTACATTGTACCAACTCTGGCTTTTCTGCAAAGAGAAAACAAAAATAACAAACAAAAAAGAAGGAGTTAGTATGGAGGTTGCAGGACTAGGCAAAGGAAGAAGAACGAGAGGGAAAAAAAACGACAACCACCTAAAACTTTGGAAAAGTCATGCCAAGGGTTGGCTAGCAGCCCTGAAACTAGACACGACGGAGAAACAAAATAGAACTTCACTGCTTCTAGAACGGACTTGTAGGCTTTTATCACAACTCGTTGGCCAAATCAGAACATTGATTGTAAGCAGCAAATGACTCCAAGCTCTCACTCAGGAACATCATTTGTGCTCATAATTTCTAATCTGGCAAATCCAAGCATTGATCAACTGGCTTTCATCATTGAGTTTTTACATCAAATACCAAAAAAAAAAAACAAAAAACCAATAAGTGGAACACACGAGGCCATAACTCAAGGCCAAAACTATGCATTTCAAAGCTAGAACCTGCAGCTAGAAGTTCAAACAGATTTGTTGTGCAGACTTGGAAAATGTGTCCCGTTCCTACTCGTTTCAGATATTAATTTAATTTACAGAAATGATACGGCCAATTATCTTATGTTTATTTATCTTTTGGGGCTGGCAGTAAGGTATACAAGATATATAAATGGCAGGAAGTGGGTACCCATGAAGAGAACTTTTCAGATTTAATCTGATTATCAGAACATGTCTGATGTTGTGTTGTATAAAATCTTGGTTGTATTTTCAGGAGTTCTGCCTGCAGTAGAATAAAGGCTCAAATAAAGACAAGGCGGGCAAAACTGCACCACCCAATCTCTCTGTCTATGGCATCTATTCATCAACTTCTTCAACTCTGTAATATAAGTAAAGTTTATGTCTTTATGTTTCTTAGGCACTGTTGCTGCTACAGAAAAAAAGTCAACAAGGACAACCAATTGGGATGGCCCGCTTTTTCTGAAGTTATACCTCTGTGGTTTGCTTTCCACGGTTAAGCCTACATTCACTCCTGTTTACTTAAGCAAACAATAGATACAAAGAGAGTTTCTTGGGCAGTTCAGATGTGAATAGCTTTAGCTATATCTCAGCTCAGTGACTCCCAGCCTAAAACAAAGGATGATGATTCAGCCTGAACGTGACAATCTTGAAAAAAGGACCCAAATTCAGGGTTAGGGATGACTGAGAAAGCGAATCAAAATATAGTAGTAAGAAGGTAGCTGGAGCCATCAAACTTGCAAACCAAAACCAATTTCCAACTCAGCTTTCAGACTACAAGAGCTAAGATGATGCTTGGGTAGCTTCAGCATGGACTTCAGCTGCTTGGATGAAATATGCCCTGTTTGTTGATCAATTCCAATCCTGGAACCGCCTTGGAGAAATATTCAGAAATGAAAGTGATCTAAAGGATAGGCTTTACGGAATGTGCCCCATTCTTGTTATTCCAAAGGTTTTTGGCTCCCGGTCATTCTCACGTGTTTTAGAGTGTTAATTTTTGAGATCCCTAAAGATCTCTTTTGAGAGTTAATTTCCGAGATCTCTTTAAGAGTCTTCCCAGCACCAATAGCTCTGTGCAAACCAAGGTCCCTTCTGAGTTTAGAAACTGCAGGTGGGAGAAACAAAGCAAGGTGCGTTTTTCATGACGGCAAGTCTTTATATGCAATATAATGGCTTTCCCTCCCTTGGGTGGATGGCAAATGTTCTTGTTCTGATGACACATACATCTTATTTGGTTTGGCCTTATCGGCTGCTTGATTGTAGCTAGAGATTTACTGCCCAGTTTTGGACCTGATTAGCAGGGAGGAGTTTTAATGGATTGTATCTTGTATGCAGACTCCCTAGGAAGGACATCTCCTTCAAAGAACTACGTTTTGTGTAGCTCTCTTTCGATCAGGATTTAAATCCAGACCTTTTAATGTTTCTAAGCCCAAAGTCACCTCTAGACAAGGCAAGCGGCAGATATATCTAAAAATAAAATAAATAAAATATAAAATATAAAATATAAAATATAAAATATAATAAAATATAATAAAATAATAAAATAAAATAATAAAATAAAATAATAAAATAAAATAATAAAATTAAAATAAAATAAAATAAATAAAATATAAAATAATATAAAATATAAAATATAAAATAATATAAAATATAAAATATAAATAAAATAAAATAAAATAATATAAAATATAAAATATAAAATAAAATAAAATTTGTAAAGAATTTGAAATTTGTGTTCTGGAACAATGTTTACTAGAAAGTCCCTGGCATTTTGTAAACCCAAATTTTGCAACTTCTGCTGTTGTGTTTCTGATGCTGTCTTTTCACATCCTTGGCTATGGATCCAAATGAGTCAATGACTGACTGAATAAATAATATTATTTATTTATTTGTTTGTTTGTTTGCTTGCTTGCTTGCTTGTTTGTTAAATTGATACATCGCCCATCTCACTGTTGAGTAAACTCTGGGCGGCATACAATAAAAGCAACAATTAAAACATTGAACATTAAAAGTTAACATGGGAGGACAGGGATAACCTCAGGAATATTTCAGTGTTGCAGTGATTTATTTACTTATTTTGACATTTTTAAGGCCACCCAACTTAGCGTGACTCTGAGCAGCATACAAGATAAATACACAGTAATAATAATGTAACTAACAAACAAATAACCAATATATAAATATGAGAGCTAAAACCTAAAATGGAAACCAAGCACAGAACATAACAAACCACTGGTGGCTACTACTTTTACTGAGCATTTTTTTTTAAAAAAAGGAACATAAACAAGGGGAAAAAATGCAGAGCTTATAAAAAGGTAAAAGGGCACGCTCGAGGTGGTGAAATGCAGGCAGGTAAATGACAAATCTACAGTATCATAAAGATGACTATCTTCTAATGTTATCATTAGAAACCTATGATTCTGTAAAAGATGTCATATCCGTTTTCTCAATGGAATCCAAGGGTCTGTTTTGAATTTAAATGATAAATCCTTGGTTAATTGTGTACACAGGGCTAATTAACACATAATGAGTCAATACTGAAAGTCTGGTTAGATGTCAAATCGGAATTTACATAAGAAGTATAGCAAAGAGTTGTTGAAACTCTTCGGCAAGACTATGCTGAAAAGGTGGAATATCTAAACATCTTCTTAACATGTATGATGGGCTTTTTTTTTTTAGCCCATTGAAGAATACTGATGTATAGGAGAAGACAAAGAAATGGGTGGCTAAAATTGTCAAGAACCTGAGTATCTTTCTTACAAAGAATGCCAATAGCAATACAGAATTTTTAGTTGGGCAGTTGGATCAGTGCAAGATATAAAAGACAGGAAGGGCTGGGAACAGATCTGCGTTTCAAGCAAATTTGGTGAACCAAGTTCCAAGGGTCCCAGTGGAAAGCAGAGTGCGGAATAGCAAGAGTCGGAAGGGACCTGGGAGGTCTTCAAGTCCAACGCCCTGCTCGATCAGGAGATGCTACACCAGGGGTGTCCAACCTTGGCAACTTGAAAACTTGGCTGGGGGGATTCTGGAGTCGAAGTCTACAAGTCTTCAAGTTGCCATGATTGGACACCCCTTTCCTATACCGTTCCAGATTAATGGCTGTCTAGTCTCCTCTTGAAAACCTCCAGTGATGGAGCACCCACAACTTCTGGAGGCAAGATGTTCCACTGGTTAATTGTTCTAACTGTCAGGGAATTTCTCCTTAGTTCTAGGTTGCTTCTCTCTTTGGTAAGCTTTTATCCATTGCTTCTCATCCTACCCTCAGTCCCAGCAAAGATTCTCCTGGAAGCCTGCCCCTCCCACTAAATTAGCAACTTTCTGAATCTTCAAACTTTTTGATTCAAGCAAGGGAAGGACAAAGGAGGAGAGGGGGGGGGGAAAAGGAAAACCAGGAAGGGCATATTGAGGAAAACAAGAGAGAATCAAGTTCTTACTTTGATCAGGTTTAATCTGTCATACTGGGGGGGAAAAAAGAAAACCATGAAAACGTTAGAAAGAAAAGAAAAGTAATTTATAGATTTAAGGGTGGACAGGATAGATATTTGTGCATGGGAGTAAAAGCCAACATGTAGTAGAGAAAAGCTATAGGGACAGAGGAATACAAAGAAAATAAATTCTAACAATGCCGCGCCATTTTGCAGCATCTCCTAATGGTGAGTTTTCGTGGCTCTGAACTGCACAGGGCTTGACCAGCTATGTGTAACTGAACATATTTGTAAAGGTTATACAGGAAGTCCTTGACTTACGGCTACAATTGAGCCCAAAATTTCTGTTGTTAAGTGAGACGTTTCTTCAGTGTGTGTTGCCCCATTTTATGAGCATGGTTTGTTCACTGAATCTGGCTTCCCCACTGATTTTGCTTGTGAAAAGGTTGCAAAAGGGGATCACGTGATCCCCAGGACAGAGCAATGGTCAAGAACCAGTTGCCAAGCATCTCAGTTTTGATCACATGATCATGGGGATGCTAAAAAGGTCTTAAGTGTGAAAAATCGTCATAAGTCACTTTTGAATTGGTTGAGACTATGAGTTTGTCACCAGGATCCCAGGATAGCAACTCGGTTAGTTTGCTTCAGCCCTCCATTTGTTTACATCCCGAAGGGTCAGTTCGGTTTGCTGAGAGCTGAAGCAATGCTAATGAGAACTTCCCATGTCAATTATCGAATAGGCAGAGGACCAATGGATTCCAAGATCTAGGAAGCTCAAGAAACGCAGAACAGATTGGTGCCTTAAAATTCCCAGGATCCAGCAACATTTTACAAGGGCAGCCTCAGAGCTGCCCATCACCTGTCTGGACAAGGGCCAGTTTGGCCAATGCAGATGGCTGTGCCCCTTGTCCTCATGAAAAATGGTGAGGGATCTTAGAAGTTGACTTGAAGGTCACAGATTCCTCTATTTCATTTCTTGGGAGCCCCTGATGGCTCCTTCAGTTCTGATAATCCCACCCTTAGCATTTTGGGGGCATATGAAAAAATGAACCCCTGAGGTGGGTCCTTGGTCAGGATTGAATTGTGAGGTCCTTGGTGCTCCCTGAGCTTGGTAATTTTCTTGCAGACGTCTTGCAGATGTGCACTGACGATGTTACCTAGTTGGGTAATGAAACGTCTACAAGAAAACAACCAAGCTCAGAGATCTCCAAGGATCTCATAATTCAACCCTGAGCTACAAATATTTTCATCTATTGGAACCCCTGAGGGCTATTCTTTTTCCTATCCTCATTTGAGTTCCTGGATCTCACATGTAGGAGCATCAAGGAACACCCCAAAGAAGGACCTACAAAGGTCTGAGCTGCTTACAATCCCTGACAATGACAATGGCTAATTATAGTTCACCAATGTGAGCTATACTTCACCCCAGCAAGACAAGTCCAAATGGGCTTGGGTCCACCAACCTTTTAAATTAAGCAGCATGGCCTTTGTTTACCAACTAAAGGGACTGGCTTGCTTGGCAGAAGGGCTACTCCATTCCATGTCCACCATTTACCACCAGATTATTTTGCACGCTTAAATACTTAAATCAGCCAGCATGTTATTCTTCACCATGAACTGACTTGGGAAGCAGAATATTCTCCAGAGTGTGCACAAAATCAGGCACAAGGGACAGACATCCAGGACCACAGGATGGCAACAGGCCCTTCCAAGAATAGGCCTTTACAACCCCCTGCATGCCCCCAATGCTTAATTCCAAAGTATGGGATTACTCTGTCAAAAGGATAATGTTTTCAGTTGACTCAAAAATATTTTCCTTGCATGTACATCAGGCACCGAGCTGTGGGGCCCGGGTGAAGTGAGGATACGGGTTGGTGTAAAAGTTGCGTCAAGCTTGCTTAGGGGGTAGATAGGCTAGGAAAGGGCTCCCTCTGTTGGCAACATAGTACCATGACAGTCTGTAAATCTCATTAAAGAGAGGTCAATCATGAATGAAGGTGTCCCAAGATAATGTTGCAGGATCCAATCCATGGGGACCAAAGGTTTAGTCTTCCAAGCTTTTGGCCATGTGCTGAAGCCCATCCTCAGGAAATTTCTCTCTCTCTCCAGAATGCATGCACTGGGCTGTTCTACGTGTTGTATATTTATATATGTATTTATAAGGGCCATGGTGGCGCAATGGTTAGAATGCAGTATTGCAGGCTAACTCTGCCCACTGCCAGGAGTTTGATCCTGACCAGCTCAAGGTTGACTCATCCTTCCTTCCTTCCTTCCTTCCTTCCTTCCTTCCTTCCTTCCTTCCTTCCTTTCCTTCCTTCCTTCTTTCCTTCCTTCCTTCCTTCCTTCCTTCTTTCTGGTGGCATAGTGGTTAGAATATAGTATTGCAGGCTAACTCTGCCCACTGCCAGGAGATCGATCCTGACCAGCTCAAGGTTGACTCAGCCTGCCTTCCTGCCTTCCTTCCTTCCTTCCTTCCTGTTTCATAGTGGTTAGACTATAGTATTGCAGGCTAACTCTGCCCACTGCTAGGAGTTCAATCCTGATCAGGTCAAGGTTGACTCAGCCTTCCATCCTTCCAAGATCGATAAAATGAGGACCAAAAAGGCTGAGTCAACCTTGAGCCAGTCAGGTTTGAACTTCTGGCAATCGGCAGAATTAACTTGCAATACTGCATTCCAACCACTGCGCTCATAGATCAAAATAATGAGTACCTATACTTGAAGCACCGTTTGGAAATCTATCCACTTGCCAGGACAGGGAGAAAAAGCAACTGAGTGTCCTGGCGCACTACATATAGTGGTGAAGTAGAACTTCATCAATCTGGCTTCTGGTCAATGGGTGTTTTGATTGACTGGCCATCTCAATCATACACAGCTGGTTTTTAGGTGAAGTCACAATCTTATTTAAATACTGCCAATACGTTACCTATGCCTGAACTTGCATATTGGAAAAAAAATAGACTAGAGCAGGGGTCTTCAAACTTGGCCCTTTTATGACTTGTGGACTTCAACTCCCAGAATTCCTCAGCCAGGCACACTGGCTGAGGAATTCTGAGAGTTGAAGTCCACAAGTCATAAAAGGGCCATGTTTGAAGACCCCTGGGCTAGTGGGTCATGTTCAAATGCCCTGGCAAATAGATCCCATAAGATGCCTCCAGCTGAAAAGAATTCAATTTTTCTAGGGTCCAATTTATTGGCTGCAAACAAGAAGGAACTGAACGGAGTAAAAGGAAAGCTGATTTTAATAGGTGCTTTGTGGCAAAGAAAAAAAAAGGAAATAGAAAAAAAACATGGAAGAAAGAGGTGGATGATTAAATTAAAACTTACAACTGAGAAGTAAACAAAACGAACAGCGTCAACATCTTTTTATTAGTAAGGTAGAAAGACCTTGAGTCTTTCTATTAGTAATGTAGACAGACCTCTAGACTTCAATTCCCAGAATTCCCCAGCCAGTGTGGCTGTCTGGGGAATTCTGGGAGTTGAAGTCCACTAGTCTTAAAGTAGCCAAGGTTGGGCATCCCTCTCCAAGAAACTTTAGTTTTGGGGGTTTGGAGGTTTTTTTGGAGGGGGTCTTGTTTTTGCCTTTTTGAGCCCTCTAATTGGAAGAGAAAGGAATTTGAGGGGTGGTTTAGTGGACTTCTCTTCTCCTTAAGTCTACAACCCACAAAAGCCAGGATGGTGGAAAAAATGTTGTTTGGTTTGCTTTCTGAGCTGACGATAGCGTCGTAGCCACAGTCTGATAGTCAGAGAGACATTCTTCTTTTGCAAACGATATCCTTACAAGCAATTCTGTTTTCCCTTAGCGGGAAATGCTGTAATATCCCATTTTGATTATTCAGTGTAGGCCTATCTTTGTTTTACAAAGCCCGATTGGCTAATGCCTGAAGATCCAGGGAAAATGAATGAAAAGAAGGAATGAGGAAATTTCAAAAGCTCGCTTTGTGAAATGTGAGACACATTTTTTTTCACCTACACGCATACCTGTAGGTGCTTGCCTATTTTATTCCTCCTCCTTAGAAACAATAACTGAGTTCAATAGAGTTTAATTATTCCCGTTACTTCCAGCTTCTATTGTGAGGATGGAAAAGGAGCTTTTGATTTAAAATGAGGAACAAGCAATTTTGAAATCTCGAGGAACGATTCCAAAAATGGCTTCTCCCCCAAGAAAATCTTGTTCTGTTGCAGAGGTTCTTAAGATTTGCCCAGAAGTTTATTCAAAGTTGAGTGCTTCCTTTTACAATGATTTATTGGATGATCTGGAATTTCTGGGACATCTTGTTAACAAGTTTAATATTCCTCCTATATTGGGTAGCTGACACTGGTGTATGAAGAGGTAAGCACTTTTTCCAGCATTGCTTGTAAAAAAAAAAAAACAGAAAGGAGGAAAACATTCAAAGTCCCATCCACCATCAAGGTTCATCTCAGAACTTGATAGCTGTGGGATCTCCATCCAGCTGTCATCGTGTAACATGGGAGTTGAGGCCAGATGTTTGGCACTCGGTACCATCATTGGCAAGCTAAATATAGGAAAGCAGGTAGTCAACCAAGACCTGATCAGCAGACCTCAAAATCAAGATAAAGTGAGACAGTGAAAAGGAGGCAAGCTCAGAACGAGAAAGGCCTACTGGGAAAGGTGAACGAGAAGATAAAGAGCACTCAACAATGAACAAGTCAACTCACCTTAGAATTCTTGGTGCCACCACGACCAGATTGAGAGGAACAGCTTCGCTGCACGCCTTGCTCTGGCGTGGAAGGAGACTTGTCAGAAGAATGATCTGACCCCTTCTCCACCATGGTGTCTCCTTGGGGGTCCTGTGGCGTGGGAGACCGGGAGCGTTTGCGCAGGACTGGGGAGCAAGCGGGAGTACTGCGGTTCGAGTTACTGGCAGTGCTGGGGAGAAGAAAGAGAGAACATCAAGTGAAAAACCCATCACAGGAAGTTGGCTGAGCCGGCCACACTGTGTAGCAAATGAAGACATTTAATGTGGAGACTACAGATGCCTGTAGTCTTAATCCTCTAAAATCTTTGTTTCCAGAGGAAACGTCCATCCTTTCTATGTTTCCTCAAGAGGGATGCAAGTCACCAAAATGCAGAGCCTGCGGTGGAATCAAATCTGATAGAGCAACTAGGATGCAGCTGAAACAGCTTCGTGAAGTCTGCTTTTTCTTTCATTTGATCTACTCTAAACCAAGGGTCCCCAATCCCCGGGCCACGGACCCATACTGGTTCACAGCCCATTGTGACAGGTAAGCGGGCGAAGCTCCATCTGAGCAAGTGACGGGCTTGCGCATGAAATCATCCCCTCCCCCCTGCCTCCAACGCCGGTCCGTGGAGCCGTAAAAGTTGGGGACCGCTGCTCTAAGCCATCTCAATTTTATGCCACTGGGGGGGGGGAGAGAATCAAGAGAGAAATAACATGTTCAAGAAATGGGCATCATCTTATTTTCCAAAATAAATAGCATATAGATCTTAAGATCACCCATGACCTGGCTCAAATGATCCCACTGCAGTTATGTGACGTGAAGGCCTATCTTTGTAGAGAAGGTTCTAATGCCGAGAAAGGAAAGAGAAGGGGACAACCAGGAGCAGGGGAGATGGACTCAGAGTAGCCATAATTAATCACCTATTGGGACACCAGAAGGACCAAGTTAGAGGCAGATCATCAAGGAGAAAAACTATCTGTGTGGTTGCTAAAAGTTGACACTGACTTGATGGGACACCATCAGGCCTTAAGAGAGAGATTTATATGTCTATGCAGTTCACTGGCTTCTCTTTACAAATGGCAAATGTATATATTTACATTTGACCAAACGTCAGAGAGAGAAAATTAGTTGAAACTGGATCCCACTAAAATTAATAAACATAAGAGGGCCATAGTTTTGATTTCATTGAATTCAATGTAAACCCAAGCCCAACGCATGAACTTCCAATGTTGTTATAGCTATTATATCAAGATCAGTGGTGAGATTTAAATAAGTGAACAACCGGTTCTCTGTGTGGATGTTGCTTCCGGAAGTCCATTCTGGGCCTGGGCAACAAAAAATTAGCTACCTGTTCTGCCGAAGTGGTGCGAACCGGCTGAATCCCACCACTGATCAAGATCCATGACTTTGTATTTGGAAAGGAACTGGAAGCAACCCAGAATTCATGATTCCCAGTTAAGTGATCCCATCTTGCTGCTTACAGAGGAAGCAGAATTAAACATCTTTAGGGACATATGACAATTTGCTGTCCTTCTCGACAACTCTCCATCGCGGGCTTCCAAAACCTTTGCTGTTTCTGCTCAGTCCCAGTGTTTTTCTGGACTTAGACCAGGAACAGGCATGGCAAATGTCTTCTATGGTTTCCATAGTAACCAGGGCTTGTTGCAAAAGGACCAGGAATCCACGCTTGCAATGACAAAACAACTTGACCCACTTTGAAAATAATAATAATAATAATAATAATGCTTTATGAAACTAACTGGCCCTCTAAGCCGTTGCTGCAACTACATACCACTACAGCAGCCATACAATAGGCAGTTGGAGAGAATTTTCAAGAAAAGGGTTGAAAAAGTAATATCTTAAAATTGTCTTTGTGCACGTGCATGTGTGCAAGCACATGTGCAGGGGATACAAATATTTCCATCCATTTTGATTACCAGGGGAGGCTTATAGTTAGTCCCGTTGAACTAATTTTGAGATATCAACATTGTCTACCAAGAAATTCCTCCAGCAAAGATTCCACATTCAGAGGGTTCGAAGTAATGTTCTTTGGTAATTTTCTGGGTTTTAATTCCAAGGTTCGGACAACTAATCTGAATTTACCTAAAACAACCGATTCAGCTATTTCCAGATTATCACCAAATACTCCCATGCAAAGAAAACTTACTTTTTTCTACTACAATTATGACATCAGTGGCTAGCCAGGACATGAGACCAACCTACATCCTAGGATTATAGACATTAGAAGCAAACTTAATTTCTTTCATGTCCTACCCTGTGGAATGAGAAAAGTGTGACAACCTCTTGGGTCTCTGGAGACTACCGTTCTAATTCTGAACAATCTTAACTTTAATTCCTTTTTTATGAAGAGACTTAACTGTTAGTCTTCTACTGATCCTTGCTGCCTTTCTCCAAATGCTGTCCTGTAAGTGTGGTGCCCAGAACAGGACAATGTAATTCAAAGGAGGAGCCGTACTACACATTCTAAAGTTGGATTCCTTCTTCTTGCGGTCCA